AAAAAAACCCACAAATAACAGGCCTGGCAAATGGCTCACAGCACTTTGAGAGACAGAGGCAGGAGGATCGCTTCATGCCAAGGGTTCGAGACCAGCCTGGAAAACACAGCAAGACCCATGTCTCCACTAAAAATTTTAAAATTAGCTAGGCCTGTGTTGTGTACTCGTAGACCCAGCTACTTGGGAGGCTGAGGTAGAAGGATTGCTTGAACCCTGGAATTCAAGGTCACAGTGAGCAATGATTGAGTCACTGTACTCTAGTTTGGGTGACAGAGTGAGATCCTGTCTCTTTAAAACAACCAACCAAACAAAAAAAACCACTAGGACTATTATCAATATTCCAATATGAAGAGATTATGCCAGTCAGTCAAGTCAATACATTTTTAAATTTTTTTTTTAAATTTCTCTTCTCTTATCAAGTTGTGATGTGAAGCTCAATACATCTTTAATGAGCCCCTACACACCTGCTAGCCATAGTCCACAGTCCTAGGTATGTGAATGGAATTAAACAGACGATAAACTCACATATAAGAGGATTTTGGATTTTTATAAATGCTAAATAGAGAAATATGACAAAATAGGGAAGGAGGGAAGCACATCTGTTTTGGCTAGAATGAACAGAGAAGGCCTTTATGAGGAGACATTTGAGTGAAACCTGAATCAGCCATACCAAGTTCTAGAGGGAAAATATATCAATCAGAAGGCAGAGCAAATGCAATGATCCTGGGACTATAATGAATTTAATGTGTCCAAGAGACAGAAAAGGTCAGTGTGGGTATGATATGGTGAACCAGAGGGAACTAAAAAGGTGATAAAAGGGTCAGGAGAGTTAAGGGTTTCATAAGCGAGCAGCTACAGTGGCAGATCATATAATGTAAGCTGGAAAACAAGGACTTGAGGGAAGTCAAAAAAAAAAAAAAAAAAAGATAATGGTGGCAGGAATAATTGAGGAGAGGAAGAGAGAGAGCCAGGTATTAAGTGAATGAGACGGAGTACCTGGGAGGCTGGAAGACGACAAAAATGGGGAAGAGGAATGAATGTAAGTCTGATGACTTCTTCAAAGGGGTTAGGGTTTTTGAAGGAGAAGAAACAGATTCAAAGTAGCAAAAAGACCAAAAGAAACATCAGGGCACCTGGATTTAAATCCTAGCTTTTGAGCTGGGCACGGTGGCCTGTGCCTATTGTCCTACCTTCTTGGGAGGATCACTGGAGTCCAGGAGTATGGGCTATGTGGAAAAAAGTCTTAGCTTCAGTAATTATTAGCTGTGTGATTTTGCCAAATCACCTAATCTCTCATATCCTCAGGTACCTGAAGTGTAAAACAGGGTTAGCTTTACCTACTTCACAGGTTGTTTGGATGGTTAAAAAAAACTGTAGGTGGAAGGGAAAGCTAATTAGGCAAGTCTTCTAATGTCCGAAGTCTTCTGAATGCATATAACAAGCTACTTAAATCATTTTAGAAAATGCACCACATCAGTGTTGTTAATGCTAGTGAAACCCTTTCGTGGTACACCTTACACAGAAAACACAGATGGCACACAGAGTGGATGCAGGTGAAGTAGAAAACAGAGATCTGGAAAGATCGTGGTATCAAATAGTTCTGAGGACTGAATAGATGGGCAGTACTTGCCCCCTTAGCCAACACCCGAATGTATGCAGTGAAAATAACATAGTTTCCTCTTCATTTCAATTTAAATTAATGGAACAAAAAACTGGTTCAAACCCAGAGTTCCATCTAGCGACACAAGATGGAACTTAATCCTTTTGTCTTTGAAAATGACACGAGTAACTTCTCATTATCTGAGTCTGGTCAAGAGCAGTAAAATGGCTATCAACTCATAATACAGACATCTTCAAGAAAAGTTGAAGAAAACATAAACAGTAACTCACTTTCTTAATGGCGACGATTTGGTTGGTGTTCTTATCTCTGGCCTTGTAAACCGTGGCAAACTAGAAAGAAAAATAGGAATAATACAAATTTGTGGGAGTTTTTTGATGTTTGCCTTTTTGCGTTTTTACATTTTGGGAAGCAAAGAACCCAGGGTTCTTGAGCGGACTCGCAGTGGCTTGAAACGTCGTGGGGCAGTCCACGTCCTGCTTCAGCCTATTCTTCATAAAGGAGAGGGCCGCTCAGTTCACGTCCAGGATGTAAAGAAGAGGGGCAGCAGGTGCGTCCGGGAGAACAAGCAGCCAGGCTAGTCCTTTGGCCTCCACAAGAAAACCTGCAAAGGATGAGGCGGCGCGGTGCTCTCCGCTCCGGGCCCTCCCAAGCCCACCAGAGAGCCTCACCTGTCCCTCCCCGAGGAAGTCCAGCTTCTCATAACGCTTTGCCCGAGACTTCACGTCCAAAGCCATCCAGCGCCGCTAAGCCCGACTCCAGACAAAAACGGTGCGCTCCCCGGACAGCAGAAATTTAAAGCCACCTTAAAGTCTCCAACAGCCACTTCCGTTCACTGTGCGCCGACGCTCTAGTAGCCCCGCCCCATTTCCGGAATGGGCGTGGATGGTGGTCAATGGGGCCCGGGCGGAGCCAGCCATACGGAAGCTGCTGGAGTACCCAATCTGTCACGTGATGCCTGTTGGTGCCGGAAGTGGAGTCTTTTCAGTGGCTGCTGTGTCACTCTATTATCGTTTTAACTTGGATATTTTCTACACTAGCTGAGAGGGGTCAGCGTTCGGATATGGTGTTTTGAGTTCGGGATTTGGTAGGTGTGTATGAGTGTGAAAGGCTTGGCTTTGTACCTGATCTCGCTTTCTGGTTCTTGCACAAGAGCGTCCTGTCGCTACGGTTGCTATGGACACAAACCCCGCGGTCTCGGGTGCCAAGTTCTTAAGAGCTGGTCAAGAGCATTCTTAGTACAGTCCTTTTATGAAGAATCAGACCCAGGGAAACAAAATACAACTCAACTGAAACATGTGCTGTGGAAGAGGCTTCTGGCCCTCAGTTTTCTACTCTGTAAGATGGAAATAATAGACATCATAGGTGGGTGTGAGGATTAAATGGGTCATGCAGAAAGCTTAGACATAGTGAGTACTCAATTAAATATTAGCTGTGATCTGTACCCAACCTCTTGATTATCATAAATTTTCATAACAACAATTCCTTTATTCAACCAATATATAGTGAGTGCTTTCTATGTGCAAAGCACTGTTGTAGACTCTGAGGGAAGAAAACAAAAATCCCTGTTTTCCAATGAGAGGAGATAAAGCAAGTCAAATATATTATGTCTTTTTGTCTTTTTTTTTTTTTTGACAGAGTCTTACTGTGTTGCCTGGGCTAGAGTGCCATGGCGTCAGCCTGGCTCACAGCAACCTCAGACTCCTGGGCTCAAGCAATCTTTTTGCCTCAGCCTCCCAAGTAGCTAGGGGTACAGGTATGTGCCACCATGCCTGGCTAATTTTTTCTATAAAAATGTATTATGATACATAGCGATAAATGCCATAGAGATAGTAAAACAGGTAAGGGGACGGGAAGGGGGAGAGGGATGAGGGGCATTGCAGCTTTAAATAGGGTGGCAGAAGAAAGATATCGCTGAAAAACCCTGGAGGGATTGGAGCAGACAAGCGATATGATCTGACTTGATGTTTTAAAAGGTTCACTCTGGTTGTTGAGAGAAACTGGACTTAAAGGGGCGAGGAAAATCAAGAAGGCCTGTTAGAGAATTATTAAAATAATCTAAATGGCTCTACTAGAGTGGTACCAGTTTAATTTCTAGCCAATAAGATTTGCTGACAGGCTGGATATGAGTTGTGGGGAAAAAAGGATAATTCCCAGGTTCTGAGCTGGAGCAGTTGTCAACATAGAAATGTTTCCCCCTTTCTTTGCATTTGTTGTTTGTAACAGTTGGAAATCCTAATTTTCAGAGATATGTTGAGGAAGGCAGCAGAAAACCAATGCCTATAATTTAGTCATGTTTGCTTTTTTTTTCACTCTGGAACCAGACTGTCTACATATGAATACTGGCCCCACCACTATTCAATCACTAGATATGACTTGGGTAAATTACTTACTTTCTGTTCCTAGTTTCTTCCTCTGTAATCGGACCTACTCAAAGGATTGCTGTAAGGCTTAAATGACTCCATACTTGAAAAGCCCTTAGAATTATGTCTAACAGCCAAGTGCTTCGTTTACATTAGCAGTTACTCTTATTGTTTATAATCTTTCAACCCCTTGTCACTACTTGGGTCTAGGCAAAACTCTCAGACATTGCAGAAAACACAGTATCTTTACTACTTGATTGTGGCAAGTCATACCTAGTGATGCATGGTGTCACATGACTTAAGTCAAAGTTTCTTCTCACATACCACTGTAACAGTAATTTAACCTCATTTGTCATAGAAATAAGCTAGTGAGCTAAATTTGATGGTATACCTGTGAGACTTGAGACTCCCAAGTGTGTTGTGAAATATAAGTTGTTAATTAGTGTACTACACCGTGCTGCTGACAAGTAAAATCTTACTTGAGGACATTTAAAATAGGCTAATGAAGGCAGTGTTTAGATGATATTCTGGGGCAGTGAGGTCATTGCATATATAAAATACCATTAAGCATTTGCATGGCGTTTTAAAGTTTACAAAGCACTTCCACACATCTTGTATTAGCCAGCTTCCACGATGGCCATGATGATCCTTGCCTTCTGGTATTAATGCACATGTGTAGTCTTCTCCCACATTAAAGCAGGCTCTTCTGTGTGACCAATAGAATAGTGTGATTTCTAAGGGTAGATCATAAAAGGATACTGATCTGACTTGCACACTTGAATCATTTGCTCTGGGGGAAGCCAGCCATGTCATGAATTCACTGACAGCCCTGTGGATAGGCTTACATGGAGACAAACTGAGGCCTCCTGCCTACAGTCAGCATCAACTTGCCAGCCATGTGAGTAAGTCACCTCGGAGGTGGATTAACCAGACCCAGCCAAGCCCTCGGGTGAATGCAGCCTCAGATGGTATCTAATTGCAATCTCTTGAGACACTCTGAGACAAAACTGCCCAGTGAAGCTGCTTCTGAATTCCTGACCCAGAGAAACCATAAGCTATTGATTATTTTTGTTTTTAGTCACTTAATTTTGGGGCAATTTGTTACAAAGTAATAGATAATACACTAATTTGATCTTGCCTATCACACTGTATAGTACTGGAGAGGAAAACTGATATTTGGACAAATTCAGCAATTTGCTGATGATTACATATATTTAAGTGCTTAACCCCTAAACCCCTAAATAAACATACAGGCTGTTCAACTCTAAGCCTAGCCAGAATTCTTTCTACAACACTGTCCTCCTTGAGAGCTCATCCTATGACAGCAATTCCCACTGACATACCTTTTTGTCATACCTATACTCACAAATTCCGTTAACAGTGACATATTTTTTCATTTTGACTCTCACGGCAGCAGTAAAGTAGTAAAGACTGGCCTCAGATACATATCCACAGTTCCAATGTTAGGGTTTCTGTTGGCCCACAGTATTACTCAAACCACTCTTCGTTACCTGAAGCCCAGAAAATAGCCATGGGCTTCCTTTTACTGAAATTAGGGGGAAAAAAGAGAATAGTGCTAGTTTTAAAGTAATTTTCCTAAATATTTTTAAATAATAATAAAAAAAGCATCTATTCTTCATAAGTCACCACAAGAGCTTACTGCTAGCATCAAACCCAAACCCATCTCGTATTCATGTTGGGCAACATTTACACTAGGCCACAGCACAGAACTTACAAGAGAAGTAGATCAACTCTGGAGTAGTAGAAAAAAGTAAAGACTAACCCATAGGTAACTGGGCAAACAGAGAAACACACTCAAAAAGTAATTCTACTGTCTCTTCCTTATGAGCTACCCTTACTATTACAGATGACTTCTTTAAAGCATATTCTAGAAATGATTAAAGGTATGAAAGAATTTATTTAGCTTTGTGAGGCTTTACTTTCACAATATACATACGCTTGGCACAGGAAAGCCCTATTAAAGATTCAGAAGTTGCTTAATAAGGTAAATATTTAGTTTGATTTTATGCGGCTTTCAGACATTGAGAAAGTTAATGGTTATCAGAATTTCTATACATGATCACAATCAAAACAGTAAAATAAACCAAAGAACAAACCTTAACACCCCCAAAACATAACAAATTGCAATTTCTAATGAAACATTTATGCCTATGCTATATTCATTTTTTCCTGACAAATGCCCTTCGGAAATCCTATGCTATGTTCATTTTGATTGCTGATTTTCCACTTTATACTCTTTGTTTTGAATATAGGTTACAAATAATCTTTTGTGTCATTTCCTCAGTCTTTTTTTGTTTTCGGTTTTTTTTTTTTTTGAGACAGGGACTTGCTCTTTTGCCTAGACTAGAATGTAGTAACTCAATCATAGCTCACTACAACCTCAAATGCCTGGGATCAAGTGATCCTCCCGCCTCAGCCTCCCAGATAGCTGGGACTACAGGCACACCACCATGGCCATCTAATTTTTTAAATTTTTTGTAGAGATGGGGTCTCGCTATGTTGCTCAGGCTGGTGTCAAACTTCTGGCCTCAAGTGATCCACGTGCCTCAGCCTCTCAAACTGCTAGGATTGCAGGTGTTAAAACACTGTGCCTGGCCTCCTCAGTCTTATTACCTTATTCACCTGTTTTTACCTTGGCTATATTTTTATCATTTAGAGTAGGATATACTTATTAAGCCAGTTATACTCCAATAAACTTGTGAATGAAAAAATGTCAGAGAATTAAGAACAAGTAATGGAGTCATTATTTCACTGATTCTTATCCAATGTCAGGAAAATCATGTCCCTAAAACAGCAATTCTGCCTGATAAATTCTTTCCATGTCTAAACAGAAACAGCAAGAAAAGTGAATTTATGGGAAGCCTATGATACTTTACTAGACATTGTGTGCTTTTAATAGTTCAACACTGGTAATATTTGATAATCAAGAGTAAATAGGCTAACATTTAAAAATGTATACTTTAATAAGTATAAAGTATATAAACAATTAATTAGGTAAGCTTGTGGAGAAGCTGACCAAGATACATAAATTAGGAGATACAAATGTCCATTTAAATTTTCTATATCTCTTTTTTTACAGAATATCTATTAAAGTTGCTTAATATACAATTTCTCATTTTTCATTTTAGAAGTTATTTATTGTAAAGATAATTCTTTTGTCTGATGACAAACAGCAGCCACAGTGATTACTCTGGACCTCCACGCTGAAAAAGAAAAAATAAAGCAGTATGATTAGATATTAAATTGACACAGTAAATGTTTTCATGGCCACTTTACACAATTTTGAGCAAATAATCTTTAGTTTTTTAAAAATAATTTTGGGTTTTTCCTACCTTTTGGGTACTCATATCGATTGTTATAAACATAGTTTCAGACTGGAAGGGACTCAAGGTTGACCTAAATCGGAGGTCCTCAAATTTCTTGGTCTCAGAAGCTCTTTACACTCTGAAAAATTATTGAGGACCCAAGGAGCTGTTTTTCATGTATATCTACTGTTATTGATATATCATGCACATTTACTGAGGGCTCTGATTATGGTTTGTTTCTCACAGCCCTGGCCTACCTGATGATCTGTCTTAGCTATGACCACAACTTGACAAGACAATGGGAAGAACATGTAAATCAGCAAATGAAATTCCAAAGCTAAAATGTTACGGTGTTTTGCACAGTCTTATGATAAAGCACAACAACATACTTGGATAAATTCAATTTCTTCTTGAGACACAAGTTTCCTTCTATATTTCTGAGGCAATGTTTTTATTATTTCTGCAGTGTCTGGTGGACCCTGATACATCAGCAAATCTGGTGATTTACTTCCCTTAGAATGCTGAGAAATTGCAGAAGAGTGAGACGGTAGCCCTGCTGATCTCAAAACTTCTGATACTGAAATTAAAAATAAAAAAACGTAATTAGAGAAATTGTTCAGGTGTCTTAAAATACTATTTTGAGTTATCTACTATTGAATAAGCAAGTCATTCTTGAAATCAAGTAATTCTTCAAATAATTCTTGAAGTATTATAATTCTAAGAGATAAATACTGTAGAGTAACCCACCTGGCTATATATAATTTCATAAAGTTTTTTCTTTTTTTCCTGGAGATAGGGTCTTACTCTGTTGCCCAGGCTGGAGTACAGTGGTGTGATCATAGCTGACTGTAACCTCAAACTCCTGGGCTCAAGCAATCCTCCTATGTCACCCTCCCCAGTAGCTGGGGCACACCACCACGTCCAGCTAATTTTTGTATTTTTTGTAGAGACGGGGTCTCACTATATTGCTCAGGCTGATTTTGAACTCCTAGGCTCATGTGATCCTCCCACCTGGGCTTCCCAAAGTGCTAGGATTACAGGTGTGAGTCACCATGCCTGGCCCACAAAGTTGTTTTTAAAACAAATAAGGAAGTACAGTTTTGTGGGTTTTTTTAAATTTATTGATTTATTTTAGAGACAGGGTCTTGCTTTGTTGCCCAGGCTGTTCTCAAACTCCTAGACTCAAGTGATCATCTCGTCTCAGCCCCCTGAATAGCTAAGACTATAGGCACATGCAACTGTACCTGACTAGGAGGTAGTTTTAAATCAGTGAATTACTAAAATGAACAAGTTTGTAAAGCAATGAAATTTCTAGTTAGTGGAGTTCAACCCATATGGGTAACCTACACTATGTAAGTTTTTTGTCATATAAGCCCACATAGGCCAACACATGGTCAACTTTACAGGTAATATCTTACAGTGGGGAATAAGAAAGCTGGTAAATGTAAATGAGGGTAGTTTTATCGATACCTTTATACTTGTTAATCTTAATTCTTCAATAGTTAAAATAAGTTTAAAATATCCCTATAAAATATGTTAAATTTCTCCCTGAACTAAAGATCAAGTATCCAGAGAGGCGCA